AAAGTGAACAAACTGGCACAGAATATTGTTCAAAGGTTAAAAGACAGATTTTGCCAGTGGCTAGTCACGCTCGTGGAAGGGTCATGGTAGTCCAGCATTGCTACAGATGATGAAATGGATTCCGTCTCTTTTTTCCATTCTAAATTATAGCACACCAGGAATTTTACAGGGATGAAAACAATGTCTGATCTTGCAGAATATAAACCTATGGGAATATCAACACAGACCTGTGAACCTTTGGGACTGGACAGCAACCCTGGGGCACAGTAACCCTGTGGAGGGAGCAAAGCTAAGGGAATTTCTCACAGGTCTTCCTCTGCTTTTTCTACTCTTGTTCACTTTCCCATCAAAAGACTCTTCCTCATTCTTCTATTAGACAAGCAGAGAATAATTTACAATTTACTTGCCATCCCCCGCTCGCATACTTTGTTGATTCAAGACATTCTTCCTCTGCATGTGACCTCAAATGTTGGCTTAATGCTCTTTAAATGCTGGTTCTCAATCTTAAGAGACAAACTGTGAAGCCACCGCAGTCACAACCACCCCACTATGAGCTCAGAAGTGATTCCTCAAGATCCAGCTCACGCAACAGGTCCTTAAACATCCCAGTAATTCAGTCAAACACCAAAACCTAGCTAGTGTCTCCAAGAGAGTAAATCCCTAAATGAATATTCATCCTATGTGCCTAAAATTAGGTGCCTAAGCCACCAGACGTGACCATCAGATCTATATCCCTACCATGAGCCTGCCTACCTTTATCCAGTGACGACCATGCACTGGTTTCCTAATGAACCACCAGACTGGTAAGGAGGAACACTTACACTGCTAAGCATTTTGGAGAAAAGAGATTGTTTTGAAAATAACAGCATTAAATTGTTTCCCATCAAGTATGACATCAATACTGATTTCAAATCACTTAGCAAATTTCCCCCCCTCCTCCCAGCTCTTCAACATCAGGGTGTCTTGAACAAAAATCAGTTTGGTGGCCTTTCTTAATGGACAAATAGGAAATTTCAGAATCCATTTTTCCAACCGAAAATAATAAACGATTTTATGTAAAACACTGGTAAACAAAAATGAGACACAAGAAATTATTCAGTTTCAGGGAACAGATGTCTAGCCTATTTGCAATTAATACAGCCCACTTCCATACAATCAGACTGTTTAAAATGCTTGGAACAAGATTTGAAAGTTCAAATGCAAATGTGTCTTGATTTTATGGAGAATGAATATGATTATATAAACATATGAAACATGTTTTTATACGAGAGATCTATTAAAAAATCTAGGCATCAGTATATATTTATAAAATTAATTTATCATCAAAAATTTGCAAGGTAACATGAAAAGAAGAAATTGCAATTTCTGCCATGAGCTTTGGTTTGACAGAAACAATTCAATTTTTCAAATTGGAAGTTAGTTATACATATCATTATGCTTTAGAAACAGCTCAAATTACAGTAAACGATTCAATTATCTGTAAAAATATTTACCCAGCATTTGTAACTTCTATAGTAGTGTTTTTACATAGCTTTCCAAACACTGGAGATCCAAACAATTTTAAAGACAAAGTAGTTCCCAGATGAAGACAAGAAAATAAGTTTCTACACCTGACTAGGACTAGCTAGGTACATGACCCTAAGGGAAGTCATATTTGTCAACTGGAAAAGTGGGGCTCATGTTTACTGTTTTTTAAATTATTTCTGATATTAATGAATAAATTAATTGTACACAGCAATTGTTCCACATACACAAAAATATTCTGAATTTTGATAACAGAAACAAGGTGTGTGAAAGAATCATAAAATAATCACACCACCAAATTATTTTATTAGAAAAAATAATATATATCTAGGAATACAACTGATCATTCAAAAAAAAAGGCAAAAATCTAGGTATTTTTCATTAATGAAAATCAGTTCATGTTTTCTTAACATACAAGATGAGGTTTATCGATGTACAATTCCTGGCATTTGACCAACAAAATCTCACAAAAACCTTAAGGAGTCTGCAGTTCCCTCTGCTACTGCTGGAAATTAATTTTGCATAACACTGTTATTAAAGCTGATATAATTCTATGTTTAGTCTTTTTTACGCATAGTACGATTAAAAGATTAATTGAAAAATCACTAGTGAAGATTGGGATTAAACAGTATCTTGAAATGCCATGATAAACTGCTTTTAAAATCAGTTGAGGATTTCACACAGCTCTGAAAGGTTTCAATTATTTATGTATTTGGTCTGTGTAGCATAAATCCAGACTAATGAGGTGCAATTGCTGTGTATAAATCTAAAGCATAAAAAAACCTCCTTGTTGTCTGGAGGAAGCAGTAACCTCAAAGGACTAGGAGGTAGCAACCTTTCAAGACGCAGCATTCATGCTCACAGGAATAGTTTGTTTTTCTTTCTGCTTGAAGTTCTCAGTTTCCGTGAAAGCGGTACCCTGGTTAGGGAGAATCCAGCTTAACACAAAGGTTACTCGCCAGAAGAGTTTGACCCGCAGGCTCACAGGGCTGCTAATTATTCCTCTTGAAACACCAGGTGAATCTTAGACCGTGAAAGTCCCACCTCTACAGCTAAGGACATAAATTGATTTCCATGTGCACATGAAGTTGTAGAGTCTGGGCCTGAAACTTTCTGTATTAGGTCTTTTTCCTAAAGATGATTTGTTTGGCAAAATCTCCAGCTATTCTGAACTTTCAAAGAATCTCACAGGCACTCACTTCCCCTTCTTCCCCATCTCTTTCCAATCATCTGCACATTCTTAAAATACGTATAGTGCTCACCAGAGCCTCTGAAGATGAATACGTGGTTTTTTTCTGGTAAGTTGAATGACTGTGTTTAAAGATGTTTTAATATAACAACTAGACCTCTGCATCAAAGACGTTCATAAGCAATGGCAGGTATGATACGAACAGTCCAAGCATGAAAGTGGTTGAGATTATACAGTTAGTTAATTAACTCTGGGCAAACAGTATGGTTGTGAAATATTTTTAAATAAAATAAGCATTATCTGAATCCTTTGGTATTGTGGTAAACCATGCTGCTGCAAGGGAGCAACTCCAGATCTAACTTGGGATAAGTTCACAGTGAGAAATCACAAGTACTGAAGAAACCTCCTTTCTTCTGGGGGAGGTGCTCTTCACACTGCCCATCCTGCAGCACCTTTCACTGAATGATTTGTGGCTGAAAACAGCAAAAGCTTTTGTAGCAGTCAGGGCCAGATGGAAAGTGCCATATTGGCAACATCAACTGAGACAGATGGGAAAGAGGGAAAACCTGCCTAAAAGAAAAAATGATAAACCCATCACACGATCACATACAAAAATACTTTAAAAACAATCTTTTTGATCTCCGATCCAAGGAAAATATGCATACCACTGGTTCAATACAGGGCTGCTATCTTGTAGCAACAATAATGTCCTTGATTTAGAGAGCAACTGCAATGTGGAATTCATGAAAGTACTACGGCCTGTAAAAGGGGCTTCTTTTAGTCACCACTCTTCCACCCTACCTTATTTCTTACCAGTCACATCCAAGATAATTTACCTAATTTCCTAATTGTGCCTGAATCTTAAAAAGCATCATCTATTTTCTGACCTCAAAAAGCCATCAGAAGTGGAAGGTACTTACTATATGCAAAGGGGCTCTAAAAGAATGGAAAGGGTTTCAAAGTAAGGAAGTAATACCAGACATTTTTCTATAGCAAAATAGTTAAATATAAAGTCAGCTTAAGAGGAAATGCAAAAGCTTCCAAGACTTTTAGCTTCTTAAGACTGCACTGATGAATTCAATTCTTTTCTGGAATATATTGTTCCACTTTGTGAATCCAACAATTGCAGATTAAATGTTTTAATGCCAGCTGTTTATTTTAACCTCTGACTCAGTTAATCTCTTGCAAATTTGGGGCTGTTCAAAGAAAGTTAATAATGGGATGTTAGACAGTTGATTAATTAAAACTAAACATAATCACAGCTATACTTACTATAGAGAAATTAACAGAACCTTTGAAAAATACAGGCAAAAATCTAACCATGACAGTGTTTTAAAGTCAACAAACTCTAAAACCAATATAAAAATCTAAGGAGCAATCCTAACATTGACTTGTATTGACTCAATAATTCTGTTTTGACAAAATATCTGATTTTCAGATTCATTTTACTGTTTGCTTGGAAACAAGAAATATACTCACATGTACACTATACCCAAGCCTTTTGTAATAGCCTATGTGAGACCAGAAAAAATAAGAGGAAGTGGCATGAGAAATCTGAGATGGAAAAGACTGATCTGGTCTCAGTTCTTCAGCTATGTATATATTATATTTTCTAGTTTTATTTAAAATTTGCCTTTCACCCTACTAGAGGAAAATCAGCATCCAACTGCCACACTACAGACTCCACTTCCACGTTGCTGTCTTAGAGTAAAAGCTTTAAAGACTTCTCTCACTATAAGCGCAACAGCTGCCTGTGAAAATTGATGTGAACAATAGGTTCTTCTGGAATGAAATCCCGCTTGGTCAGGCAGAAGTAAGTCGAATGTATTGGACTTGTTTATCTCTAATCCAGCCTTTACTGCTCATTTACTTCAAAGGCAAATTCCTGACTTCATCATATAACAGAAATTCACTGACCCAAGAACAATTTGAACAAATTTAAATCATATTGGTTTCCTCCTTCTTTTCTTCCACCCACCACTCTTCTTAATTATCATGATTAAGACTCACTCACTGCCAAGACTGCTGAAAACCACAGTGAATATTTGAGTTTGTGCTCATATTTCTACAATTGCATTTAACAATAAAAGTAATAGATCTTTCGTTTAAAGGTGAAATTCTTTTTATCACTCATTTGCCTAAGAGCAAGAAAGATCCTACATTGCTGTGACAAATGAAGAACACTATGTTTCTGGAAAAAAAAAAAATCTTTAATAACCTGCATTTTAGGAAGAGTAATTCAATCCGCTAAGATATCCACCACAAGGGATTAAATGATCCAACTTACCAGAAGCATTGCAGAGGTTCCATTTGGCCGGGATAGCTGGATAGACATTTCAGGGAACATCCTATCAATCCGATTGATCACATCGTCAACGTATCTACAACAGAATTAACACACACGCTCTTTGTCACAAACTCAGATTATTACTCCTTTTTAAAAATGCCCACAGGACTTTACTGAATTAATTTCTCTTTGATACCTGCATATTCTTCAAAAATGCATTGAAGCATAATTCAAAGTTATTGATAAGAGGAAACAAACCAAAGCTCTGTGCAAGTTGTTTGGAAAATTAAATACTCTGCCCTTAAAAACATGCACTCAATTTTTAGTCCAAATCTGTCAGCCTTAAACTCCTGCCATCATATTTCTATACTTTTCCCTCAGGAGGTCAAAGGCTACATTGTCAAAATTACTCTTCCAGCATAGGAATTCATAGGATGTCACCTCCTTACTCTCTCTTTGATAAACTAAACAGATAAAGGTTTTATCAAAGTCTTCTGACTGTTCTTAGAGGGGGGTGGTTCTGAATCTTTCCAATTTATTTCATGCACTGCTGACTCTGAAATTGGCTAGTACATTTCAGGAGTTTCTCTAGGGTGATCAAACAGCGAGGTGAAGTAACATCCTTTCTGCTGGGTATAATCCCTCTGCTTATGCAAGCCAAAGTGAGCCAGCATGCAGTTGTCTTGTTTCCCTGGTATCGTATAAGGAGCTGACAGCCATTAACAATGAAAACTGTCTTTCAGAGACCTTGCTTCCCAGGACACATCGCCCCATCCCATGGGCACGTCTCATATCCTTCAGCCATTCCTCTGGACGCATTAAAATGCACAGTATTTGCTTTAGCAGAGTTTACGCAACAGTCTATATCATCTGAGTGCTTATCTGTCCTCCAGTACTAATTTCAGTTCTCCTGAAGTATACGGAAGAAGAGAGGGGCACTGCTGTCTTGCTATCATAGGCATCTACAAACTCTGCAACTTGATCAGATCCATGAATGAATTTATTGATAAAACTGTTTTCATGCTAGCCTACATAAGCGCTCTGAAAAAAAAGATTTTTGGAAAAAAATCTGTTGCCCCAGTTTAGAATAAAAGTAAAACTGAAAAATCTAATTATTTCCCTTTAAACTGCTTAAATAAAGGCAAAAAATGTTGAATTCTTGCTCTTCAAAGTTATTCAGTTCAAATGTTAGTTGCTAAAACCCCTCCCAAAACCAATGAGGTGCTATGCTCCAATTGCTATTTTGCAAGGGATTAAAAATCATCAGAAAAACATAAAATAAAATCAAGAAAGCTACACTTACACAGCTGGTAAAGTCAGCCCACTTTTAAAAGTAACAAAAGAATGGAATTAGTTATGACAATTTTGCATAAAAATCTTAATCCACACTTCTCGTGCAGAAAAAAGTTTTCCCATTCACTTGAATGACTCATTAACAGCTTGCTTGCTGATAAGCAAAGTCAAATCATCCATAAGCGAAGAGCTTCCTTAGCATGGTGAAAGAAGAGACGCATAAGACAGTGCTTCAGGATGAGTAAGCTACACATCGACACTACGCACCTAACTAATTTTAAATATTACTGAATCCCATACTTTTTTTATATAGCATGAGAGTTTATACTGTTTCGTAAATGCAATTACTCCAGGCTCTGCAAACAAATTCAGCTATCGCTTGTGTGTGAATAGAGATGACTGATTGTGAAACAGGCAAGGAGAGATTTTGTGTTTCTTGATTACTATGTGGTTAGGAACGTGTCTTATAGCCTTGCACACTACCATGAAGATTATTGCATAACTTTTCTAATTTTTCAAGCTTTGGGCAATAAGAAGTTAAAACCAAACAAAATATGAAGTTGCATAAAACAAGACAGTGACACAGTCCATATGCATTAAGGAAGGAAAATTCAAGTAATTTTAAATCATATAAACAACAGTTGGACTTGGGCATTTAATCTGCTTAGGTCCTTCTAAGAAATCCCAGCGGACATGTACATTTACCCTTGGAAAATGTTGGAGGCAATCAGTTCTTCAAACCTTTTTTTAGATACAATGACTTTTTAAATGTAAAACTTGTCTTGACCACGTGCCTTAAAACTTGACTCAAACCTAACTGTCACCTTGTACTACCTGAGCAGTGTAAGGCAGAACAGGGAATTCACAGGGAGCTTGTGCAGAGTCTTTCCCTTTAAGTGAAATCACACGTACAGCAAAAGAGAAATCTTCTTATTTGTATTAAGCAGCTTCTGAAATAACTTAAAGATGAGTTTCCAAACACTTTGGGCTTAGAAACCTGTTAATTTTGTACCACTCTTCATAGGTCAGTTGACAAAAAAGAGAAAATTAAAACCACTCACTTAAGGAAATACGACGTTTTACTTTGGCAAGGCTCAGCAACCCTCTCACGACCATCCACACAGGTAGCCTTTTCCTTTCTTCTCAGTCAAGAGGATGTCAGAGAAAATCCAAGACCAGTAAGATAAAACAGCATTGATGTACATATCATTGTTTTGCCCCTTTGCCTTTTTCAAGTAGACATCAGGGTTTCCTGAGGATTCATCAGAACAGAAGGATTCTTCAAAGATGCATATATAATTACTAAATTAGCCTGACTACACAGCGGCCTCAAATATAAAATGACAAACAACCTAATCTAAAGCAAAATTCTTCTATAGATGTGCCCTTCAGAAAGGACATCTGGTAAAACATCTTGCGAAAGGGATGGATATGATAAATCAGATGCAGCAAAGTAATGTAAAAGTGTAACTGGTGACGACTTCAGAGAAAACTGAAGAACATATGATAAAGACAAGATAAAGTGCACTCCTGAGGCTGTCTGGAAAGAGGGTCAGAGAAAAAGCTGCTGTCTGGAACTTATTTTGCAGAACTGAAATACATTAATTTAATGCCAAATTAAGCAGAGTTGCAATTTACACACCTCTGTCCAATCGGTTTTAGCTCAAAAATATGATAGTTCTATTTATGTTACAGAACCTCTTACACAGTCTCAGAGCCGCGTAGCACTTAAGGATGGAGAAAAGTCTAATTTTACTCTGCCAATAAGCACTTCTAACTTTTAACATACTACCATATCTCAGTTTTCTCCTACTTACAAAAGATGCTGGTTGGAACAAGCCTTTACAAACCCAGAAGAAATAACACAAAGCAGGGAAAAGCAAATGGAAATAGATGTGCTCAAACATTTGGCATATCTTAATCTTAAGAAAAAAAATTCATGGAATTCTCAGAATTAAATACAAGCTGAAATTATAAGGTAGTAGCTTCTCCTCTTGTCCTAGAACAGGTGTTGTTCCACCTACAAAGAGTTGAATAGCATCTAGGCAGACTCCCTCCCCATAGCTTCTCTATCACACAAAGGATGCTCAATAACGTCTGAAGAGAGCGCAAATGACTGCAAAAGATCATACCCAGTAATCCCCATATTCAATTACAGCATGGTATTTAAACTCTTTATAGGCAGAATTTCTTCTTACTCATTCTTCTAGGCCTCAAAAGACAATACATTAACACCTTATAATTGCAACATCCTAAGTTGGTCCCATTCTATTCAAAAAAGCTTCAAGTAACCTCATCAATACCTGTGTCCTAACTCAGATCCACACGCATCCTAGTCACAAAAGAACAACAGACTTGACCAACAGGACTTCCGATCATTAAATCATATCAAATACTAAAGCAATTTTGCTAATGTAATTTTACTGGTTAGAGGGAGGATTTTTAAAGAAGCTTTAATAGCAGGTTTTTACCAACTTCCCTCTCCCATTTTTTCTTCTTCCTTCTCTCCTTCATGACACAGATTCATGATTTTTAAGGAGGTTTTAAAATTATATTTTTGACAGAAAATCTTTATTTTAAAAAATGGTAATAGTCTCATTCAGGGGTATGCATCTGAATGTGTAACAGAACTAGCCAGTAAAATCAGACCTGACATCAGATGCTCTCCAAAGCTGTCAACACTATAAATCCTTATCTTCGTTTTAATGTAGTAGAATACTTTTTTCTACAAACATGCTATATTAATACTGGGAAAGTCAAAACACAACAACCTACTTCCTGAACATTAGCAAAGACTAAAATTAATTTGAAATGTTACACTCCAAATGAAGTCTTTCTATGAACGTGCAGAAAAATCAACACTAGAATAAAGCAACAGAGATATTCTTTGAAAAATCTCTCTGCCATTTTGCCAATAAGCGTATACATAAATCCTTTCGTCCGTATTAGATGAACAATGCCCGGAACAGACAGAAGACACTTTTGAAGTCAGTTAGAAAATACTGTTTATAAGGTACTAATTAGTTATGCAAAATGCTAAACGAGAAGTTTCATACTAAAACATCAGGTTGACAAGGTAGAAATAATTCAGGAACCATCTCTGTAGATAAACGGTCTTGTAACATCTCTTTGATTCACACAAAGGCCCCCCAAAAGACAGTAATATAGAAAAGTAATTCATTATAAATGCCTTTCAATTCCACACTGGACAGATGGCTTAGTTCTCTAATGTGACCTTTTTTTTTTTTTTTTACTTTTTTTTTATTTTTACTGGATTAGATCCAGCAATCCAATGTTAGTGTGATGTTTAACAGCTTAGACAAGATTTAAATAGCATTTATCCCACACAGTGTTTAACTTGCATGCTGTTCATTTTTTCCACTCAATACAACAATTTAAAGATTAGAAATATAGGTATTAATAATAATTTTCTGAGGAGGTCTTTTGGAAGAAAGAAAATTTTGCTAAATGATATTAGGGAGACAGAAAAAAAGAGAGGGAAAAACAATTCACATTTGTAATATAAAATAGCATAAACTTTCCTATACACTCAGTAGAAAACACCACATATGAGACGAAGAGAAACTCTATGACTCTGTTGAATCTGGATTCATGATATTCTGGACAGCAATAGGGGAAACTCACCACACATTCTCTCACTTACTAGCACAGTATTTACTGGCTCCCAGATTTTTTTTATTTGGCTTTCAGTTACTATTTTCAACACAGCTAATTTCTTTTCACATGTCTGATATTTCAGAAGCATGGGCTGGCCCTGCAGACTCTTGCTAGCATATGTAG